AAAAAAAAAAAAAGATATTTCCTTCCTTGGAGGCCCTGTGGGAGAAGCCAGCTACCTTCTTCTACCTCTTTGTCACTCCTTTTGAATGTCATTTAACTACTTCTGTATAACATGTTCACAATTCACAAAGCAGTTTCAAATTATATAATTTTTATCCTCTTGATGTCTAGAGGTAAATGTTTTCATCCCCATTTCACCTACAATACAACTGAGGTTCAAGATGGTCAAGTGATGGATTAAGCCCTAGTCCTCTGAATCACACTTCCCTGTTCTTTCTACTCCGCCATAATTCTTTCCAAGTTCTCACGTCAGTTCCAGTGGAAACAGATCTGGTAAAGGGGTTTTCATCCAGCCAAACCCATGGCTGGAGTCACTCCAAAATTGGCAGCAGGGGAATTTCCATGAAGAAGTACCCCAAACCATCCTAAAATGGGCTAGTTGGGATTCTAGGGTGATGAGTTCAAAGAATTTACTAGGGAATTTACTTACAGAGCAGACAGGGAGACAAGAGATGTCCTACCTAGGTGTGACTGCAATGAGGGGTCAGCTTATGGAGTTTTGCCTGAGAGTTTAAGGAGTTTGGCTCAGGGCCAAGGCTAGTGTCTTCATGTTTAGCAAAAGTGTTAACTTCTCAGTGTTTTTGAGAAGGAACTGAAACAACTTTGTCAATGCCTGAGAATGTTTGAGATCCGGCTTGGGTTCGAGCCTGCAGGGTAAAGTGCACAGATGACCAGAATGGTCAAGGCATTAATGTTTCTCAAGTCTGGACACAAAAAGAAATCAAGGAGACCTGGGGATCCTTGAGAAAGGAAGCCTGGGAAGGAAGAATGAAGCTCACCTGAGTTGTGTTTACATACCACCCTTGTTGATTTGCACACTCCTTGCTCCACTTAACTCTGTCTAACCCTAGAGCTAGGAAGACTTCCCAATTGGTAGTTAAGACAACTGATCCTTGTAGAAGTTGACTGACTTTTTCACAGTCCTACAACCATTGGGAAGTTTACGTTCCCTTGTTCCTTTGAACAAGCACCATGTGAGATGTATGAAGTCCAACGAGCAGTGTTACGATAGCCAGATCATTATCATCATCTTCATCAACACCATTATCATTAAAATTGACATTTACTGAGTGCTTACGGTGTGCTCAGCCACATTATTCATCATCTTACTCAATCCTCACAGTAACTCCCATAAGAGTGGTGTTCTACTTGTCATTTTAGAGATACTAAAACTGAGGTGCAGAGAGGTCTGTAACCTGCACATTATCAAGAACTAGTAAATGGTGGTGGTGAGATTCAAACCAAGCATATCTGAGTTCACATGTCCATGCCTCTGCTCGCAGGCTTGTGTGCTAGTTCACAAGTACAAGCTACATGTCAACAAAGGAATGCCTCAGATTAGGCTGAGCTTTGAGTGGTGGCCCAATAGAGAGCAAATGGGATATCCAACTCTCAATTAACAGGCTAGTGCTTAAGCTCTATAAGCCAAAGTCTGTTTTCTGGCTACAGTAGCTGCTGACCCTACATTACCCAGGGCCCTCTCATCTCTGGCTGTTCCACATGAAGAATTACTTTTCTATGCACCATTTTCCCTTCCTCTCAGTCTTCTCAGCCAAACCCCTCGTAACCTGCTTGCTGACTCCCTTTTCAAGAAAGCCTCCTCAGATGAACAAAACCACCCACCTTGTCTCTCCATTTCCCCATGATCTCTGCACCCTCTGGGAAAGAGCTTATTCTCTGTGGTTGCACCCTCGTAAAAAGCTGTCTGGCCAGCCTCCCCATCCTGCTCTTGGTCATGTGTCCAGACCCTTATATGGCGCAAGTGTCTTCGTTCACCCCCACAAGGACCCATTCAGGATAGACAGGGCCATAAACAAAGGGGAGCGAGACACAAAGAGAATTTCAAATGCAGTTTATTGCAGCAAAACAAGGCAATGGGGAGTTCAAGACCTTTCCACAAAAGACAAACAACTTGCTCACACCTTATGTACAAAACCAAAGCAGACAGGGTACTGAGGGGCTGTCCAGAGAGAGTGCTCTGACAAAGAAGCCCTGGGTCTAGCCGGTCCTACTCTGGCTGGCTTGGGGTGTTTTGAAATGTCACGTGTGCGATGGTAACTGCTGAACTGTTTCTCAGGCAAAGCACAAAGCAGGGTCATTGTCAGGGAACCTAGATAGCCACTGATCTGAAAACTTCTTTGGGAAGTAGAGCAGAAAAGAAAGAGCTGGGGAGATAAGATGAGCCGGCGTAATTAACCATAGCTCTTTCTCCATTAAGGCTGGGAAGACTGACCTTGGTCTTGCCAAGTAAACTTGGTAGTGATGGAGGGAGAGAGCCAGAGCTAATGGGATGGAGAGGACCACTTTATCTGGTCCCTCGGGAATAACTGGTGGAAATGAACTTCACGCTGGAACTGCCACCAGAGGACTTGACACCCCCAGAGCCTCCAGAGCTGCCACCACCAGAACCCCGACCGCCAGAGCTGCTGCCGCCAGACCCCCGGCCGCCGGAGCTGCTGCCGCCTCCTCCAGAGCCACCTCTGTGGCCCCCACTGCTGCCTCCTCCGGAGCCACCATAACTGCCACCTCCGGAGCCACCATAGCTGCCACGGCCGCCACCTCCAGAGCCATAGCTGCCGCTGCCGCTGCCGCCACCACCTCCCGAACCGTAGCTGCCGCCTCCGGAACCGTAGCTACCACTTCCGCCACCACCGGAGCCGTAACCTCCACCTCCTCGTCCACCGCCTCCACTGATGCTGGTGTGGCTGGTGCTCACAGCTGCAGGGAGAGACTCAGTTACCTCCAGCCCCAATGCCCTTTCCCACCCGACAAAGCCAGTAGGTGCCCCTGAGACATTAGCTTGTACTTACACACACTCACGTTCGGGGGACACTCTCCTGACATCCTATAAGAGAATGAAAGGAAATCCCTCAGGCCACTGCAGCCTCACAAACCCTTTCCCCGTGTCCTGTCAGCTGTCTTGAAGACTCTCGTCCTCTGGGGCTCCTCCAACCCCTCCAAAACCTAATAATCCAGACCCTTCTGCCCTCCCAAGCCTGCTGTTTTTCACAGCCTGAGAACAAATAGGGAGAAATCTTCATATAAATTAGACAAGAGTCCTGCAGTCAGATGGCCGCACCTTCAACAGAAGCCAGTTTGCAAGGCAGGAAGCCCAGGAGAAGCGATCCAACCTCTGAGTTCCATCCTTACCTCATTTCTTCTCCTTCCAGGAGGGTCCTGTAGGTGGCAATCTCCATGTCCAGGGCCAGCTTGACGTTCATGAGCTCCTGGTAGTCCTTCAGCAGCTTGGCCAGGTCCTCCTTGGCCTGCTGCAGAGCGTCCTCCAGATCATTCAGCTTGTTCTGGGCGTCTTTGAGGGCCTTCTCCCCACGCTGCTCGGCATCACTGATGGACTGCTGCAAGTTAGAGATCTGAAAGGCAGAGAAGCCAGCACGTTACACCCTCTCATAACACCTAACCCAGCTGGCCTCCGCCCCTCAAATTGATCTCCCCATCCCAGTGAGGCCAATTCTTGAGTTCAACAGAACCACTGGGCCTTAAATCACCTCCTCTGGATAGCATATTGCCATGCCAACATCCTTAAAGGACCTTAGGGATAACACAACAGCCTCACAGGCTTGACATTCTTCTAAATGCCCAACCTAAAACTTCCCAGATGCTTTTTCTCTATCCCCCAACTTTTCAGTGTCAGTTTGGATCATGAGCTAGATCCCTCATCACATCCTTCTCTACTAGGTCATTTCTGTACGATTCTCCAAGGAGAATTCAGTAGGATGGCTACATTCTGGGAACCAGCACAGTCACCCAAAGAACTGATGATAATAATGTATCCTGGGTATGAATTGCAAGGTTCAAAAGTAGGAAAGTACCCCCTATTACCTGAGGGTTACCCCCATTTCATACAGCTGAGTGCTAGAAGGGGGAAGCAAGTACCTGCTTCTTGACATTGTCAATTTCAGATCTAAGTCTCTGCATCACCCGATTTAGCTCAGAAATCTCCATCTTTGAATTTTTTACACTGTCTCCATGTTTGCCAGCAGTCATCTGCAGCTCTTCATACTAAGGAGAATGATCATGTCCATTAGATGTGGGTAGAGCACAGCACAGCACAGACACACAGAGAGTTATCTAGGGTAGCAAGACAAGAGGTCTCAGGGACACTGGCTAGGCATTCAGGTCATTCACCTTATTCTGGTACACGGACTCGGCCTCTGCTTTGCTCCTTTGGGCAATGTCCTCATACTGGGCCTTGACTTCATCAATGATGCTGTTCAGGTCAAGGCTGCGATTGTTATCCATGGAGAGGATGACATTGGTCTCACTGATTTGGGTCTGCATCTGAGACAGCTCCTGCAAGACATAATAGTTCAGTGACTCTTAGAGTGCTAGAACAGAAACAACTTAGACACAGGGAAGGCTCAGGAGATGGAAGATATGTCTCTATTCTTCTGGGTAGTGTTGGCGTCAGGCTTAAAGACTCCATTTAGATAAACTTAATTGAAATTAGAAGACTCACCTCATTGTAGAGCATGGTAAGGAAGGCAATATCATTTTGCAAGTTGTCAACCTTGGCCTGAAGGTCCACCTTACTCATATAAGCAGAATCCACATCCTATGGGGACAAAAACCATCATAAAGCCATATTCTTTCTAGGACAGGTCCCTCTCACTAGCTGTGAGGGAACTCTTCAAGCAGAAGAGGAGTTTGGAGCCTATTCCACACCTTTTTACCCAGGTAAATCACAACTCCTGGATTGCTTCACCCTCAGATATCACAATCAAGGGAGCTCCCCACTTAGTATGTACGGTGCTGAGAAATGTGGAGGATCTGAGTGCCTGGCTAAGTCCAGATTCACAATAATATGAGAAAACAGCTCCAGATACTCATCAGATCCAGTACCTGCTTCTCCACATCAGGGCCTCCTTCTGCTTAATGATTGGAGATCCTGTTCTATTATTTATCTATTATTTATCTCATATGTGAGTTCCATTCTACAGAATTTGCTCACCTTCTTGAGGGTCACAAATTCATTCTCTGCATTTGTCCTCTTGTTGATTTCATCCTCATATCTGCAGGAAAACAGAAATGGTTAGTAGAGTCAAGGGAGGTGAATCTTGAAGTCCAGCATTCTCCACTACAAGGGCATTGCCTTCCTTTTATGAGCCTCGGTCATTCTTAGCCATTCCTTTCTTCTGAGCAATAAAACCACTAGACTCTTTCCATCTTCTGAGAAGATGAAGATTTCTGAAAAATGTTAAAGTGATGTGCCCCAACCTAAGAAAAGTCACAACTACATAACGTTTATCACTTTGTGATAAACTCTTAGAGAGCGAGAGTCGAGAACTGCCCAGCCAGGCTTTCTTACTTGTTGCGGTAATCCTCCACCATGTCTTGCATGTTCTTCAGCTCCATATCCATCCGATTTTGATCGCTCTTCAAATGCTCCACATCATTTCTGAGCTTGCTGATATATTGCTCAAAGAGAGGCTCTAAATTGTGGGTTCGCACAGAGGTGTCCACCTGCTGCAGCATCTCCCATTTTGTTTGCAGCACCTGATTCTGCTGCTCCAAGAACCTCACCTAAAACCACAAGACCCTGTTACCCCTGTGCAGAAATGTCCCATGGCCACAGAGTCCCAATGGACACCACACAGCAAGGCCCATGCCTCATTTAGATAAGAACTTCAATTCCTATTTCCTAGCCATGACAAACGGAGAAATAAGAAGAATGTGGTCAAGTGAACATCATCTTCCTAACAAAACTCAACTTCTTGTTAATTCAGTGGAGCCTCGGAAGGGAACAGCTCCTCAAGTACCAATAGCAAAGCACATATAAAATTATTGCAGTTGTGTTACAAATGCATACATATGTAAGAGATTTGCCTTCTAATATTTTTTGGTAGATTATTATAAAAATTAGTTTCCATTTCCTGGGCATCCATGCAGTTCCAAAGTATGTTGGGAAAATCCAAAATTGGATTTGAAATTTACTGTGGATAACCTTGGGTTGACATTATGATGATTAAGCAAAAAGCTAAAAGTGGCTCGGCGCCTATAACTCAACCAGCTAAGGCGCCAGCCACGTACACCTAAGGTGGCGGGTTCGAA